ATCATAGGATTATTGGGTACGGTTTCATGTTTATTGCAATGTGAATTAGTTAACTATATCTTAAGCTATGTGTAGTACCTTAATTGGAAATTACAAAGTCTGTAACTTTTTGTAATCAAATGGTTACAAAACCTGTTCAAAGGAAGTCTCTCTGGGTGGAGTTATTAAAGACGGAAGTTATCACAGTGGAACCATTTCTAATGATACTCCATAATAGAGTGCTATATATAGGAAGATGATCGGTATCAAAGCTGAGCAATATCAAATTCATTCCAGTATATAAAAAAGTTACATATTCTCAATATACATGATAATTATTCTATCGTGTTTTTACTTAGATTAAAAGGGAAAGAATCTGACGGCAAGAGCATAGTTCACCTTTCATATATTCCTGTATAGCACTATAAACAGACGCGTGTCTCATTCACTGGCTTAACATGCTTACATTTCCCGGAACATCCTATAATTCATTGTTGTTGCAAATAAGATTTTTTATTTTATGATCAGTAGTGGAATACCGCGTTTTATCAATGAAATAAAAGTGTTATTCCACTGGCTAGAAGCGGACAAAGTAGTCCATGTTGCTTTTACCTAAAATGATTGTAAAATCATAAAATAAATAGAACATTTGTCGTTTTGTCGTGAATAACATATTTTATTTCATCTCTAAGCAAGAAAACGTTTATATTTTCACTCATGCTACGCATTCGTGAAAATATAAGTTTTCTTGCTTCTCGATGAAATAAAATGTGTTATTCACTCTAAAACGACAAATATCCTCTATTTATTGGATATATCTTACAAATCGATAGCACTGTATGTGCTGATTATTAGTAATTACATTGTCTATATTCTGGTTTCCGCTAATTACCAGAGCGTAGCCTATAGAACGTTATCTGATATTGATCCGATATTGATCGTTATGCCTTCTACTTCCCTGGAAATTGAAGTGGCATCAGGTGGTCTAAAAATAGTAAACATGCCCTGTCTAAACTCTTTAGGAACTACCAATAAGGGTAAGCGGGGATGATTTGACACACTCGATATCTCAAAGATGTATTCTTTCTTTTGATTCGTTAATATCAGAACTAGGCGCATACATATTTTTAATCCAACTGTTCTGCTTTGCCCTTTTATATTAAATAGCCATTCCGGGGTGTTGGAAACACATGACCAATTGCATGAAGCTTAGGGAAATGTACAACTTAAAACGCTTCTGTAACTTTTCTAAAAACATGTGAGAATGTTTTATTATGTAATAGGGTAGGTTGGGGCACATTCGACAATATATAGTGTTTAGGACAACAGTGTTGAGAGAGGGAGAGAGAGAGAGAGAGAGAGGGAGAAAGCTAGCTGTAGCTGTCATTGAGTCAACTGGCGTGGTTTCGAATCTCCGGTTGTACGTGACGAGAAGTAGGGTTGCCTGTCCAGCCTCGTTGGTTTTCTCCGGGTCCTCCGGTTTCCTCCCACTGCTAAAGAACCCTACGCGCAAGAGAATTATTGAAATAATTAGTCTGTGTCGAGTGGTCGTTAAACTCTCTCTCTCCCTCCCTCCCTCTCCCTCTCTCTCTCTCCAGTTAGTACTCGGAGTTCTTATTCTTTATTGATTTACAATGTGTAGTTTCTGTGTCTGCAGATTTGTCTTAAGGGCATTGTTTGTGTGTTGTGTGATCCTGCTACACTGACTGTTAAAAGTCTTAGTACAAAACGCGGTTGGGGGGCCGAATGGTTAACGCGTGTGCGTTGCATCATAAGATCTGTCATCGAGTCAAGTTCCGTAGTTTCGATTCCCCGCTTGTACATGACAAGGGGTAAGGTCACCTGTCCAACCTCGTGGGTTCTTTCCGGGTCCTCCGGTTTCCTCCAATGCTAAAGACCCCTACGCGCAAGCGAATTATTGAATTAAAATTGAACCATGTTAGTCCCGAAATGACCTAGTTTGTGTCGAGTAAACGTTAAACCCCATTTTTTCGCTCAAAAAGCGTTTCCACTATGTGTGTTTCCTTGAAAATATCTATGAATGGTTACAGTAAAATCAATATAACAATGAACCAGTCCACAATATTATAACCATGCATGATACTGATAGTCAGCATCTTAAACTATATTGCAAACCTGAAACAATTGGAATAAATAAAATAACTTTGAACCAAACAACCCCAATCTCCCCTATTCTACCCTACGCATTCAGGTTTGTTTATGTTTATATATTATGTAGACTATCGTGGTCTATAAAAGGAATACGCAATAAAATAACATTATAACCTATTAAAGAGGTCGGTGAAGTACTCTCCGCGGTTTAACAAATATACCTATATTAGGATCAAGATAATTGATATCAATGAGATCAAGACGTTAATGTACACTGTGTATAAAGATGTATAGTATATGATATGCCATGAAATATTTTTATCCTATTTATATGGTGAAATGTTAACACGTAGGTCGAGCGTGATGTTTATATACCTTGACCTATTTATCCTATTTATCATTACTACCAATGCATGAAGTTTGTTGTGAACGTTGTTAATGAATGAAATTGGGTTTAACGTCCTAATCTTTTGAGCTTTTCGGGCTAATGAAGACGGACATACAGTGTTTTATGAGTGAAATTTGGCCCGGAAAGCAATTGATTTATGTGAAGGGTTATTTTAAGCAACGTATACACGAGACCTTGGTTTTGCTCCCCATCCCAACGACTAAGCGCTGTCCTATATAGGCCCTCCGTCCTGCATTACGGACGAGGATCCCGGCGATCGAACTCTGGACCTCCAGATTAGCAAGCCGACGCCTGGATATGCTACTGAGCAAGCGCTATAATACAATATTAAATTTCTATAGATCCCGAATGATATTGTATTACATTACACCGCGGCTTACAAACCAGTTTGGACAAATTAATACTGACACGAAGATTATCTAGGGAGTAGGTTATTATCTTCCTTGGTGTCGAAATAACCCCCTAGTTTCAAAATAATTAGGTTAATTATGTACTTCCGACTTGAAAATATCGCAATAAATTTTAACTCGAATGCCAGATTCGATTGTCCAAATAAATTTTAAGTTTGTAATCAAAACACGACAAAAGTAACGAAAATGATAACATAATTATTATGACTTTACTTGTAAGACCGATAAAGATCAGAGTGTGAAGGGGATCACGTGGCTAAGTGGGTAAAACGCTGGCTCGCTAGCCTGGAGGTCGGGTGTTCGATCCCTGCATTGGCCGAGAAAGTTCATCCAGATTTTCCGGCGTGGTTCCCCTTTGTCAGTGTTGCAGGACGGAGGGCCTGACAAGGACAGCTGTTTAGTCCTTCGGATGAGACGAAAAACCGAGGTCCCGCGTATACATTGGAATGCACGTAAAAGATCCATTGGCAGTTGGAATTCGATATAAGAGTAGGCGATAGTGCCGCTGCCCGGGCAAAATTTCCCTCATAGCACACTGCATGGCGTATGGCCGTCTTCATTAGCCCAGCATAGGAGCAGAACAGTAGGACGTTAAACCCCATTTCATTTCATTTCATTTCAGAGTGTGAAATCGATAGAAACCATAATTGAGCGATTGGGATATTTTTTGACAAATCATTTTTAATAAAGTACTTTTTACACGGTTTAAAACTTTATTCAATCTTTCTTCTATGCATTCATATTTAAGGTAAATCCCAATGAAGTGGCAAACGCAAAAATAGGGTTAAATTGGCTGTTAAATGAATATGTTGGCGGGTTTCAGAAAAAATCAATTTCTACATGGTTTTATTTTATGATCAAATAAACATTCCCTGCAAATCATATCTGTAAGCTAATAAAATTAAGAAACAAAGTGCATCGGCCGAAGTTGACGATACTAAATAAGTGCATATCAACCAAATCTGTAGAATGATATGGTGCCAAAATAGTCATCTAGCAGTAAATAGACTAATGTACGCTGCAGCTCCCCTGTTCTAGTTTCCCCGAGAAAGCCAACAACACGAAGTATACATCAGCTGTGCGCACAGCTTAGTAGTCTACTGACCTATTTTAGATGTGCGACTTATTACTACGCGGCTGAAATGGTATCGCAGGGCAAACATGAGAGGGGGAGGGGTGTTGGATTTAAAAAATTTCCATTGCCTCTCATAATATATAAAAACAAAAATTAATACAATATTTTGTTATTCGCTTTGATGATGCGAGAGAGAGAGAGAGACTACTGGAAGCATAAATACTAAAATAAGGTTATTTTTTAACATTATATAATAGATTAGCATTTGCAATGCAGCTTTTATCTATTTATTTATTATTCAACGCGCTTATCAACAATCAGTGAAGGGATAATTGCATGATATTATATCATGCAATTACCCTTTCACTGTATTATCTCTGCTATGTAATTATCTCTGCAATGCAATTGTATATCAATAACAGGTGATATCATAAAATATTGTATTATTACAGTTCATTGATACATTATAAACGTATGATTGTATTAAAGTTATCGGATATTGATGTCAATTATCATAGTCGACAGACAATTCATTTAAAAGCACGCAAGACCATAAGAGACACCGAACATTCAAGTTTGCTATAATGTGAGCGAATATTCCTTAATATTCCTTAAAGAGTGTGGATTTTTTCTTTGCCGAGAAATATTGTTTTTTAGCGCGGAACGAATAGAAACATTACTGTCATGTCAAAACGTAACTCAAAATCGAAACTGGGATTCAGTTTCCGGTTTGCAAAAGAACCATTTCACGGATTCCGCAGATATAAGAAACTGTTTGCATTGGTGTCAAGTCATTTAGAAAAATCTACATCTATTGAATATGTGTATAATATATCATCTACCTCAGTGTTTTGATTTACCACTAAAGGACGATGGTCGGACGGTCGCAAGCGCGATTTATTTGGTAGTTAACGGAAAAGTTTAACACTGCTGTGTTTCGAATGTCAATAGTGAGAATTCCTTCATTAGTACTGACCATTTGGTTATATTTTCTGATTGTGTTTTTTTTCTTCAGATTTATAGGAAACTAGAGCAAATATGTCGGATATTACGCCTTGGGCTTGGGTCGTGTTAGCCGCTTCCTTCGGTAGCATGTTCTTCAACTCTGCATTTTTTGCAGTTGGAGTTATCCATATAGCTTTAATAGAAAAATACCCGGATGTTGATGTTGGCACTATAGCATGGTTGGGATCACTCTACTCAAGCATGTTTGCACTAACAGGTATGTAACATACTTTTGTTACCATTATTACAATACCGAGAACTCTTGGCATCTAATATTATTATTACGAAAATAAATAATTTTGGCACCATAGAATGGGCCTGTTTGCCGGTTAATGTATTCGTTCTTTTTATCTATATAGTTTTGTCTTAGGATTAATTAGTTTATCTCCGGTTAAAGATCCATTTATGAAGATATTCAGAACTGATGTTTTCAGTTACAGAAATCGTTTGTCTCAGTTATAAATTATAAGTATTAATATACTTTTTTTTGGGGGGGGGGAGAAACTCGAAACCTTATTTAGATTCTATGCTTACACCCCATTCAGCTATCTTTCCATCTATTATTCCACGCATAGTTAGTTGGTATTGTCATTCAGAATTATGCTTAAAGCGTAGCACACACACAGATGTCGATCAGCTGAGCATACATTACTATCTGAACATCTCTGAATATTACAATTTTTTAGGCATTCTTAACCGTCGTATAAACGACTGCGCGTGGGACTGACAAAAAACGTGTCCCCGTGTGCATTTTGGTATTATTTTATCCAAACTCCTCTGCTCAGTTCAGTTTCATTCTAATGATTTTATCTATGCTATCAACAACTAAGTTATAACCACATTGACAGCAGTGTGTGCTGCGCTTTATGTATAAATGTTTAAATACGGTTGCGCACTTAGCGAAATTGTATGCTTTGCAGAATCACACAGGGTTGCACCTTCTGGCACATGTTGGGATCCATGTGATCAATATGTGGGTGAGATTTGAGACCATCTTTTGGGATCCATGAGTGATCAAAAAAGTGAATGGGATCTAAGTTCGTCTACAACTGGTTCATGACCTTTAATGGTGAAGGTGAGCTATTGTATTGGTGCTTGGCATTTCATTGATTATGTCTACAGTTGTTATATAAGGTCATGCGTCAATCTATTTCTACACTGGAATTAGAAATTCTTGTCTGTTTCATAATAAATCATACTGATTTTTCATACTATTTACCACACACCCAGCTCTTTGCTTTCCACTTCTGTTCATTCAGCTTGTGATCTCTTTTGCATTATACTGACCCGATAGATATCCGACAAAAACTTGAATTAAGTTGTTGAGCAAGGTACATAATTTATCTCTTGATGGCTTTATACTTGTCCAAACTATTCCCCAATCTAGTTGTCCCCGTCACTTATTATATATGTACATACATCGAAACGTTGCCGTATATTGTCGTCTACCCTGTATGTCGGACTGTCGGTCCGTTGTCGACGATTTCTTTTAAACTCCCTGCAGCATATATTTATCGCCCGATCTTTATAAGAGATGTATATATGTGAAATACATGAGGGATACAAAGAACCTTATTGAATGTTCTCAATTTCTGAGAGTTACTGCCGTTGAACACTCTTTTGCCAAAATTTATAGTCTTATCTGAAAAAGTTCAGCCTAGCGAAACGAGAATCCTTGTGAATGTTCTGCTAACAGATATTATCGCCCCATCTCCTGCAAATTGTTAAGATTAGTGAAACGAAGATATATAGACAATACTTTCTAATTGTTTAGCGTTATTGCCCTCTATTGTCTATTGTCTTGCCAAGGCCCCAATGATATTATACAGTATAAAGATTTTACTTTTTATTTGCCTAAATATTCAAAATGTGACAATGATAGACTTGTGAACATTACGTTTCAAGGTCTACCTGGCTGACGCCTTCTGAATCTAGATTAAGATTCTATTTTTGTCGGCATGTTACCAAATACATGAATCTGAAACAGCGCCGGAGGTGAGGATGTATGACATCAGATCCGGACTATTGCGACAGGTTGTTTGTGACTACTAGCTCGTAGACAGAACCGGAATGTGATAATTTAAGAATTTATAGGATCTTTGTTTCTTATTTTTTTGCAGTGTTTGTAGGAAGTATAGTTATAAATTTGTTTAATGCCAGAACATGTGTTATGTTAAGCGGCGTTCTAACTCTAATTGGGTTTACTTTAAGCAGTTTTGTAACTGATATAAAGCTACTGTTCGTCACATACAGTTTAATAGCAGGTAAGTTACAATATTATGTCATAGTTAATTTCAACGAAAGTCTATACATACTATTATTTTTTTTTTGTCAAGGTGGTGTATGGTTACTAGGTATATTGATATGCCCATTACCGAAGCATACACTATAGTAAGAATATCTAGTCAGCTAAAATAATTATGAAATGGGGTTCAACGTTCTACTGTTCTGCTTCGACTGGGCTGATGAAGGCGGGCATATGCCATCGAGTGTGCTATGAGGGAAATTTTGCCCAGACAGCGTCGGCGCTACGGCCTACTCTTATATCGAATTTCAACGTGAAAGGGATATTTTACGTGCACGCCAATGTGTACTGCATAGGAAAAGTACGTTTGGTTTCAGTTACCACTGCGATATCCTTTCATTCTGTCTTCATCAATTAGTATGTCGACTCTCAATTCACATTCTGGAGATAGCACAAGTCAAGTGAGGTCATTGTCATAATTCCTTCTGTATCAGTAACCTAGCCAAGTACATATATGTCAAGGAGTTATAGCTGATATATCGCCATATCTAGTTACATTAATAGGTTCAAATATAGGCAATATAGCTGTCCTCAAAGAATTCACATAGTTTTGAATATTTAAGGGACGTGCCGCTTTTTAAAATATAATTTTAATATTTTCCTTCTGGCTATAGCTCTAGAATGGTCTAATCTGGCATGTCAATAAAGCATAAAAACACACGGAATCTATACACAGTTCTACCTTGTTAAAGAATAATCATATAATTCGCTATTGTCAGTTGACAAATTGGCAAATAAATCATTTTTAACGTCCTACTGTTCTGCTCCGACTGGGCTAATTTTTAGGCTGTGGTATGAAAGTTTCTTGGTGGTATTATTAGAACAATATCACGTGTGCAGGCTGGGAATACCTTTTAATGCCTCAGCCATCCAGTCATCTTTATCCATAAATGTTTAACCACAGACATTGTGCATCGATTATACACACATGCGTAATGAGTGTATGTAGAATTAATTATTTATATGCTTGTATAATAGTTATTTGACAAACTATTAAACATGCATTATGCGAGAGCTAAAGCTGCCTATTGCAGGTCTTTCTTTAGGCCTGAAATGTTTTCTAAAGTATTAATTAGACATTAATTAACTGATCCAGGCCTTAATCAACTCTCGATGGCATCAGATTTCTCCGATATTAAATAGATTAGAATGGTTCAGAGATACTTTGATTTAATCAAATATGGAGGACCGAGACTTAGCTTCGATCAACCAGTACAGTGGTTAAAATTATTGCACACGTCTGTCAAACCTTCAAAGGCTAATATCTTCGCTTACAATAGAGTAATTTGAATGAAATTTTCAAATTATTCATTTTACATCATCTACTTTCGAACTATTATAGCAAGAATGGCTAGCTCTTTATCTAAATCTTACATAATGTATCTTTAAGCAATAGATATAGAAATGATTTTGTTTTAATATGAAACGACAACTTTAAACAATGAACTGGGTGTTATTTGCGTTATATCTTCCATTTCAGGCAGTGGTCAAGCCATGTCATTCGCCGGCTCTATGGTGATTATTGGTTATTACTTTAAAGGTAAAACCAGTATAGCTACAGGAATAGCTACTAGTGGGAGTGGACTGTGTACATTCGTGTTCCCACCTTTAACTCAGTATTTTGTAGACACGTATGGCCTGTCTGGTGCCTTTCTATTTCTGGGTGGACTCGGATTTCAATCCGCAGTGTGTGGTTCCTTAATGAGACCTACTAAATTCGAAAAGCGATCAAAATCGTTTTCTTTAAACATTTGCAGACGACAACCCCCAAAGAAGAACCCTGTGGACAAAAAAGGTGATATATCCTGTTACGACATTGTATCAAATAAATCATTTTCCTTAAATAATATCAACCAGCAATTTCGAAAGAATCATCTCGACGATAAAACGACTGAAAGTGGTTTAAATAAAATTCTGTATTTAAGTAGTTCCTGTGGACAACTTCCAAAGAAGAACCGATTGGAAAACAGAGTTGGAATGTCACCTGGCTACGCCATCGGATCAAGTAAAACTCTTTTCTTAAATAGTTCCAAGGATAAACTTCCAAAGAAAGACCTGGTTGACAAACACGACCAAACGTCGTCCCGTTTCTTGACAGAAAGGGTGATACTCTTCACATCAGCTCCGACATGGCTGTTATTTATGAGTTCCGCCGCCTTTCACATGGCACTGTCAACAGTGTTCTTATTTCTTCCGGATTACTTCAAATATCTGGGATCCTCATCTCAGGAATCCGCATTTATATTTTCTATAGCAGGAGTTACCGGAATATTCTCCAGAGTCTTACTTGGATTCTTAGCCTCCAGTGTCGACACTGCTGTCGTTTACGGAAGTACATTTGGTATTATGGGCGTGATTACATTTTTTGTGAAATTTATGAATTCTTTGGGTAGCAAAATAGCCTATACAGCTTTATTAGGGTTTTATACTGGAGGTAGTTGGGCTCTACAATATACTCTACTAGTGACTATAGTTGGATTAAAAAATGCCTCTACCGGTTATGGTGTCATGATGTTCTTTAGTGGTATGGGATATCTGTTGGGACCTCCATTTGCAGGTATGTAAATTTTTGTGCTGAAATTGTTTGCAATCTTGATAGGAATGTAGTTATCCAGAGGTCCCATGCTCTTCATGGTGACTTAACCAGTCAAGCTTGCAACTTCATTGATTTGCATCAGTGACCCATGAATATCAAGCCCAGGGGATGTCAATGGAAGACAGGAAACTTTTTTTACAACCAGGTCATTGTAATGGATCACACATGATAAAACTTCTTGAAGTGGTAACTGTAACTTAAATTGTATAGAATTTTGTCAGCATCAGGCTTGTTTATTTTTGTGTGTGTGTCCACCAATAGATCCCAACTTGTATATTCGTGGGATAAGTCAGATAACAGATAAGAGAGTTAAATCTATATTTCTTTTGTTTATTTTTCCAGAAATGATGGTTGTGTGGTTTAATGATTATTATTATGCCTTCGTGTTTGCTGGTAAGTAAGTTTTATATATGATCCTTTACGGAACACTTTCATTTGATTAATGTTTTAAAAATACAATCTAGTGTCTAATTATTTGTTGATAACATTGATCTGCCTAAACAATAACAAAATCAATAGAAGGATTATTAATACCTGAAATGAAATGATCCTACCTTAAGTTAAAATCGATAAAATTTAAACGATCGCCAAAACATACTGACCTTAAAATATATAAGCTATTTTGACGTACTGATGCTTTAAAGGAGATGCGTTCAGAATGGATAAATGCATGTTTAACGTCCCACTTTTCTGCACCAAGACAGACACACACCGTACCGTGTGCTGGGGTGGGTGGGGGGCAATTTGCGTGGATAGGAATTGAATTCCAAGCGTCAAGGGTACATGGGACCTCGGGGTTTCGTCCCATCCAAAACGACTAGACACTGTTCCTTGCCAGGTCCTCCATTCTGCAACACTTACAATGGGGTACCATGCTGACAAATCCCAGGGAACTTCTTGGCCAATACGCGGAATTGACGCCGGGTCTCCTGCTTAGCGTCCTACTCACTGGGTCAACGTCGTCCGGATTCGCCCAGAATTAAATCGATTTTTCAAAAGTTGGTTAGTTGAGCTGGATGGATGTGGCTATTATATTTAGAATTTTATCAGACTATACAGTGTGCTATAAAAGTTATAGAATGTAATAACTGTTTTCAGGTTTGTGTTTTTTGGTAGCAGCAGGCACAGGTTTAATGATTAGACCGAAGATTAATAAACAGCATGTGTTATCAGTGATAAATATAGAAGACAGCGAAAATGAAAAATTTATCATTGAACCAGAGAAACAAATAATAACCAGTTTAAGTGAAGAAACTTTAAATCTTTTAAATAAGAAAATAAGCGCAGTGTAGTTAAATGAACTGTGATATATATATTTGTTAAATGTATTTTGTTAATGTTTATATTGTTTAGAATTTTTTATAAAAAATACAATTAATTACCAGTATCTCCTTTTTTATTATACGCTCATTGTACGCTATTATGTCGTCGCCCTTGTCTGTCCGCAGGTCCGTCTAGCGGTTACAATTTCCATCCGGTTTTGATGAAACTTAAAATATGTCGGATGCTGTCGATTTTGGCACGGTAACTTTCTGGGTTATTGCCTCTTGATTTTACGAAAATCACCTACACGTTACAATTTTTATATGTCCGTATCGTTCATGGCAATCGCTTATTTGTTATGTCATACACATAATATGGACTGGGTCTATAAATCCGGAAACCACGACCTTCCTGCTCTAGGAAAGAAATACATTTTTCTGGGCATGGTCATTAGCTATATCACTAAGAAGAAATTGTGTTCTTTAAAAACGCAACTAAAGGAAATGTTGTCTAAGAAGAATTGACGGAAACCGTCGTGGCAAAATCAAAATTGCAATCGTCCCACTGCGCATAAATCCATGCCGGTATGTTAGGATCAAAGTGGCCCATGTAGTGTGATATCCAGACGTTAAACCCCACTCGAAAAGAGAAACGATCATATACAAGTCATGGCACAATAATCTTTGATCTATAATTATAATCTTTATTTCGGATAATGACCTCGATCAAAGGTCAATATTTCTATTAAAACGCCCATGGTTACTCCGGTATTTCATTCAAGAAAGCAATAATACACAATCAACAATTTATTACGGTTATAATCAACAATACAATTTATCGAGGAATTTTGTATGTTGCCAATCGTTGTCTAGTTTACTGTCCTAATCCAGAATTAGTTAACCCATTTAAACGTCCAATGTGGACTGTTCAATATATTCAAATTTCTCTTAGATGTCAAGCAAATATGGCATGTGAATAACTGTCTAATTAATGATTTATATAACATTTGAGACCAAACGAAAGATTTGTATTAGGCATAATGCATCTTGAACCGGACAAGTAAATGACCCATTTTGAAGACTTGCAGGGGGGTTGGATGGTCGAATGTTTAGCACGTGCGTGCTGTATCGTAAGGCATGTCATTGAGTCGGTTGTACGTGACAAGGAGTAGGGTCGCCTGCCCAACCTCGTGGGTTTTCTCCAGGTCCTCCGGTTTCCTCCCACTGCCAAAGACCCCTACGCGCAAGCGAATTATTGGAATAAAATTAAACCATATGTTAGTCCCGAAATGACCTAGTTTGTGTCGAGTGGACGTTAAACCCCATCTCTCTCTCTCTCTCTCTCTCTCTCTCTCTCTCTCTCTCTCCTTCGTTTGCATATCTGATATAGATAGACCTCTCCCATAGATCCTTACCTGATAATCTGATTAAAAGACAGATCTTATTTCTCTTAATTTCGTTTCCCTTGTCTTCACTACACAAGGAGCTGGAAGTGTTGTTAAATAACCAGGGTTAAGGTTGGCATGAGGGATTAGCCAATCAAAAGCGACCTCCTACTACAACCGGCCAGATCTCCATGCAGTGAAAGCTATCGAAAGCGAAAGTACAAAAAACGAAACGAAATATTGGTCTGTATTTTAATCAGATTGCTGGAAAAAAAGTTTCGGTTTGGCGACACTTTACTATCGTGTAACACACTCCTGGAAGGTATATCTAGTACTTATGAACTGGGAGACAGAGAGTTAATTAAGGTCATTTGAAACAAATCCTGAGGAAATACGTGTTATCAGAAACTAAATTAATGATCTTTCAAAACTTGACATTAAAATCTTCTCCCCACTCACATTACCCGTATTTAAATTTGATATTAAATGACTAAAGCGGATATGCGTCATTTTTTAGACAAAGTGATCGAGACATCCTATTGTATTTTAGACCGGCCAACATAAAACCGTTTTTTTTTTTAAATGAACACATGACACCATTAATTCCTGCGCTGGTTACCCCCATTTGTATGGCGATTTATGTTGACGTTTTGGTGTAGATCGGATAAAAGGGTTTGGATATACATTTTCCGCCAGGGTTTGGTGAATATTCATGATTTTGTGGCGGAAGGATAAAGGATAAAATGTAGGGAGGACAGTTACATATGTGATAGTATGCTTCTTTCAGTTTGTGTATCTCAAGATTTCCATAGTGAACCTCATACATACCTTTGATGCTGCTATTTCTGTGATAGAAGGCGTTCAACGCCACGAATAGACGAGAATCAACATTAGGATCAATGTGGAAATTAATGGTGTACTGTGTCCGATACAACAATCCAAGGGAAATAACTTACTTAAACATCTACTCTGATTACACAGTTCGTCAATATAGCAATTCTGTCTTTTCTTCTTTTTGCGCATTTTACATGGTAATTTTTTGTCTAGAATCGGGGAGTGTGTTCGCTAGGTTTTGAAAAATATTTAGTATTTTTAGGACGAGGTAATAGAAAGTAAAATTTTCGTTGTGTTTCCATGAAATTGACTTAAGTTTCTTGTATGCAATTTTCATTCTAGAGCATATCTCAGAAACCATTCAAGATATCTTTATGAAATTTTGTTTTCTTTATTCATATATCTAGAAATAAGGGCCCTCAATAACTAAATTTATAAAATGTACACTGCTGGTATGTGGTTGTTGATTACTAATAACACAGAGACAGAAATATGTTATCCCTGTCCCTTCTATAAGGGTGTGGTGAGTTGAGGACTAAGTCTTCTTGTAGTTGAGTGACATTTAAGGCTCACAACAGAATGCCCATTTATTAACGATTATATTTTTAACGAACTAACATCAACCACGAGAGTTTATTCTTAATTTGCATCTATAAAGGCCTCTTTCTCACCCTGTTCCAGAAACAATTCATCTTTTACTCCTATGTCCGTCTCTGTAACGTCCCGAGGATTATATCTTTTGGCCGTCGCTGGAATTAGTAGACCTGACACGGAAGCAGTTGCAAAACACACACCTACAAAATGAGAAAATATTTACTGCTCTTCAATCTTCAAGCACGAATCTCACTTGTGGCGGGGGGGGGGGGTCACCATTGGGGCTGACAAGAAAACCAAGCCGTGGTGTGCACATGAAAGAATCATTGACAATGACAGTTGAATTTGATACAGAGTAAGTGGAAACGTTGCGTCCAGGCAAAATCCGTCACCCCCACAATGCACGGGTAACAGCTGAAATAACCTTCACCATACGTTAGGGGATCACGTGGCTAAGTGGGTAAGACGCTGGCTCGCTAGCCTGGAGGTCGGGTGTTCGATCCCTGCATTGGCTGAGAAAGTTCGGAAAAGACGAAAAACCGAGGTTACCGTGTACATTGGCGTGCACGTAAAAGATCCCTTGACAGTTTGAACTCGATATAAGAGTAGGCCGTAGTGCCGCTGTCCGGGCAAAATTTCCCTCATATCACACTGTATGGCGTATGCCCGTCTTCATTAGCCCAGTTCGGAGCAAAACAGTAGGACGTTAAACCCCATTTCATTTCATTTACCATACGTTAGTCTCAAAATGATCGAAGTGTTGTGTTCAATTCCTAAGGATTAAAATGTGAATGGGGATTAACGTCCACTCGACACAAACTATGTAATTTCGGTACTAACACATGGTTTAATTTTATTTCAATAGTTCGCTTGCACATAGAGGTCTTTAGCACTGGGAGGGAAACGGGGGACCCGGGGAAAACCCACGAAGTTAGACAGACGACCCTACTCCTTATTCAGGTACACGCGGGGAATGGAAACCACGCCACTTGAATCGATGATAAACCTTATGATTTTACGCGCACACGTTATACCACTAGACCACCTTAACCCCCTGACCAGAGGACATCGGGACTGGAAAATCACGAGGAACATTCTCGTTCAATACCAGAATTGATCACCAGAGTCAGCGATTAGAAGACTTAGATTATTTCAATGTTGTAGTGTCCATGTATACTAAGATTTCTAATAACGTATAATTACCAGAAAAAACAAAAACGATGTAAGAATCCTGATAATGAATTGCTATTATTTCTGAAAAAAAAAAGAAAATAAGTTTAGATACAAATAAAAGGTTTTAAGAGATGGAAAATAAAACTGACGTGAAAAATGCAATTCATAATGGTATTGGTTCTAAAGGTCTAGGCATTCCTGGGGTATCGGAACTGATAATGGGCGCTGGTAGGTGTGACTATCGGTGAAATCAACGTACTATGGCCAACTATCGTTAGTCCATAATAGGCATACAGAAATAAAATCATGAAGAGTTTGGTAACTTTGAAATATGAATCTAGTTACCGAAGAGCCGTATACAGTGACGAACATAAAATCCAATATGGTGGAAATTGTAAATGTATTTTAACATTGTATGAAGTTGTATGTTTCTGTCATTTACTCTTTTTGAGATACAACTGAATTTCTATAACGAATCAAAATGATTGAAATCTAATATGGCGGTCTATGTAGGTAATCTTAACAGTTTATTAAGTCAGATATACTCACCATAATTATGCAGTAAACGTTATAAGTTTGTTTCTAGTATTTACAGTTTTTGAGATACACATACATTATCGCATTTCTGATATTTCCATATTTGTTTCTTGACATTGCAAACACGCTTATAGACGCTTGCTTTACTGTCCAAAGTGAAGTAGAATCGGAGATACGGACAAAACTAGGTAATTTCGGTGTCTATTTTAGAATTCAAGTTGGTGGCCACCAGAACGCGTCATTTTGGGGGCTCCATTTTTTTAAATGGCCCTTAGGTGTTATAGTACCACAGTGCAAAGTTTCATGGTTCATTTATCAGATGAACTTTTTTTTATAATAAGCCACTCTACTAACGGTTTAAGGCGGATTTATTTCAAATTTGGTGGGTGTGAAGCATCGGGGTCATTAGAGGATGAAACCTCTAAATGTTCAGCGTTCCGTGGCTACAGTTTATAACAGATATTTTGTTCAAATTCGATTGTCAAGTACTGGGGCAATGTGAGGATGAGCCCCATCGATATTTCCTGTTCCCAATACATTTCTTACAAAATATGGGCACATCTTGCATGACAAATACCTGTTAACATTAAAAAAAACAATCAGGGTATATAATCTAACAAGCATACCTGCTATAGGGGGACCAAACAAATATCCCAAACCACCACAAAACATCATTACACCCATATGAGACTCTAGATTTTTAAGTCCATTAGTTTCCACCAAAAGTACATACTGCAGCGACCAGCTACCACCGGTATAGAATCCCAAAATAAGTACATATGAAATTTTACTTCCCAAGGTAGACATCCATTTTACGAAGAATGTCGCCACTCCGATTATGCCAAACATGGCACCAAACGCGATGCCTGCACCCATGAAAGACGCCAACATTCCTAATATTGCCCGAGCTATAGTCCCAGTTACCCCAGCAACAGCCAAAAGTATGGCAATTTCTTGAGCTGTTGACCCCAGATGCCCGAAATAGTCCGGCAAAAAGAGAAAAACTGTGGAATTTGCCATATGAAACGCAATAGAATTAATCAATAACAACCTATAGTGTAATGATTGACAAAATCTGAATCTATCCTTCCATGTACTCATTTCTTTTTGTTGAGTTACATTGCTATATCGGTTGCAACAGAAAACAGGTGCTAGCGTTAGTTCTTGTTCAGTTGGCTTCATAAGAGCCCCGAATACTGAACTCTGAAAACCAAGTGCACCAAGCATCAGAAACGTTCCATTTAACCCATAGGTATCTAGAAATAATTGTGTTAAAGGAGGAAACACAAATGCAGCCAGTCCACTTCCGGCTATAGCTATACCTGAAGCTATACCGAGTGTATCTTGAAAATGGTAACTTAAAGAAACAAATGGCCCAACAGAACACAAGGATTGTCCAGATCCTGAAAGTAAAAATAATAATAATAATAATAATAATAATAACAATAATAACCTAACCTAAAATTGATAATATTCGCTTTTTAATCTTCTAATAATGAGTGCAGTGAGACTCCGTCACAAATAAACAAAACTCAAAAGATAAATCAAGTGAATGGATCCGGGGGCCAAGCGTTCTTTTCCGTACACGACAACTAATACAATGTTTCACGTCCCATCCGAACAACTAGAGCGGTTTTTTTCGTCCTGACAGAACCGGTATCGACCTTGGGACCCAATGCTTAGTCAGCGAGTGCCATGCTCACTGAATTTCTTCCTCTAAATTAATGCAAATTTAAAAGATTCTTTTTTTCTAAAAAAAAGTTTTGATATTAGCTAAAAAAAAGTCACGTTACCTGCTATTAAGCTGTACGTTATAAACAAATATTTTATATCTGTCACAAAAAAGCTTAATGTGAAACCAGTCAACGTGAGAAGACCACTTAACATAACACAAATTCTAGTACTAGACAGACGTATAACAATGGTACCTAGTATACCTGAAATACAAGGTAAATAGACTTATAACAGCTGTATTATATTAAACCTAAAAATACAAGTAAAACATATTTATTACAGCTGTATAGAGTAGACCTAAAAGACTTATCAGCTGTATATATTAAATCTAAAACACACGTTAACTAGACGTATAATAGGTGTATTAAACCAAACACGTCTGTTAAATCTGGGTTTTAGGTTTTATATACAGCTGTAATAAGTAGGTGTTACAGGTTTAATACTGCAGTGCACTCTGTCACATGATGACTCACATCTGACATCGTACGGGATCGTTACAATATGTCGGATTACGCAGAGTGTCGGAATACCCAGTTTTCTCAAAACCGGAAAAATTGGAACTTATAATGTAGCTTCGAAAATAGAACTTCGAATCACCAGAATGTTATTCCCTTTAAAAATGATAAACCTTTCTGTACATTCAAAATTTTATTACATTACTTTTTTTTTTTTAACATGCGTAGGCATTTTGAATAGGTCAAATCTGTCGTTAATTTGTCTTCTTCGCCGTCTTAAGTTGATCGCACTCTTGTCTTTGCTATCACGTGTTCATTGATAATTGGGCGTACTCAATCCCAAAAATATTGACAATCGAGTGAAAATAGGTACTTCGGGCTACAACGCATGCGTCGACTGGATATATAAATATCTCATCCAACTATGCAGCCGAAACCTGTTCGTCGTGTTTAATTACGTCACAATTCTACTCACACCACATCCGTCGTCGGGACTAACAGGACTGTGACAGGACTGACTTCCGCGTCACTCGATTGCAATTCTGTCAATTTGGGACGTTCCGGACTGTAAATCGAGCATCGTCACACGGTTCTAAGACATCCGTAGGGTGACCAAACTTATAGGTTATTCAGGTTCAATCGGCATGCGCAACGAATGTTTCCAGCAGGTGCGAGGAATATTTTTACGACTGTGAATTCGGGGGAAAATTCGTGGATATTCTTGAGTATTTGTCACAACTGTCGTACAAGAGATTAAAATTATCAAAGTAATCAACAAAGACCCACGGTAGCGAGTTTTAATCTCACGGATAATTGATTGGTGATTGCTTGTTAATCTTTTGTGGCTTCACACCCATCCAGTTTTAATCTCACGGATAATTGATCGGTAAGTGTTTACTTCACACCCACCGATTGAAGGCCAGATTATACGGTGTCGATTCAATGGAAATCGTATGACGTGACGGCAGATTGATGTCGTAATCCGGAACGTACAGAGGTCGAATTACCCAGAGATTTTTTGGCTGAAGTAATAAGGAAATAAATCGGGACATGAAAATGGTATCGGATGTAACAGAGTGCCGGAGTGATCAGAGGTCGAATGTGACAGAGTGCACTGTAATAGCTACTGTTCTTACACGTCTGTTAAATCTGGGTTTTAGGTTTGGTTTAATACATCTGTTATTAGTCGAGTTCAAAATATATTATGGGAGATTAGATAAAGAGCTGACAGTTCTCACTACAATAGTTAAAAACTAGATAATGTAAAAGGAATTTGCTGATAATTTTAGTCAAATTGATCCAGTCGGTACGATAAAAAACGTAGTCTCGATTATCCAGTTCATGATTTAATCATGAATGTAGCTTGAGCAGCACATATCGCAGGCTAGCGATGACATCAAGGGTTGATTATGGTCTGGATAAGTTAATTAATGTCTAATTAATAATTTAGATAACATTTCAGGCCTAAAAAAGGCCTGCAATAGGCAGTTTTAGCTCTTGGCATGTTTAACATGTAACAACAGTAGCTATTTAACCTGACTTATGGCAGTATCTACTATTAAAGCTCAAAATTATACAAGTGGTATCTAATAATTATGAAACGCAGGTCTCTTATCAAGATAGAAGCACAACACAATAGAATGAAACATTGTGATAAAAGCAAGAACAAACTCGAGCCGTCTTGACTTCCGGTTATCTGTTTAAACAAGACTACCCCTTTAAGGGAAATAATTATTTTTAATGACACGGTATTGTAACATCACCTCCTTTCAACCGAACAATTCGGCTTATAGCGCTTCTTCGTAATTATGACCGATCTTTCGAAGTCGATGGCTGGAGGCGTTGTAAAATATTAGTTGGGCACGGTCAGATTTTCCCACGTCGGGTGTGCTCTATCTGGGGCGGCTGTCAAGAAACCCAAATAGCAACTGGCTAAGTTCTAACGGTCCAACTATCGGCCTTGTTTAAAAGCTGACAGCGGGCGCATAGAAAGTCTGATATACCACGACTGGGGAGGGTGCATAGAAACACCGACAGGTTCCACGCCCTATCGGACCCAAGGCCAACAGGCGATTTTTCTGTCGAACACCCCCCCCCCCCCAAAAAAAAAACCCCCCTAACAACAACACTTCTAGAGGTCCAATAGGCATTAAGCAACATGTAATTGTAGCGGTCCATTGAGAGTGTTACGGCCTTGAGTGAACCTATTTGAGGAGAGTTGTTTGATATTCTGGACCCTGCGCTTGAACGAAATACTCACGGGTAATATGAAAATTCACTCCCTTTTTTGTTGAGTAGGAAATAGCATCTATTGTGAACAGACATCTGAAAATGGCTAATAAACGAGTTCGAGCACGGGGGAAATGGGCCGTTGATTGAAAACTGACTTCCGCCAATAAGACCGAGAATACATCGAAATCTGTATCTTTTATAGAACCTCTGTTTCACATGTAAAACGCATCAGCGTCAGACCATTGAATAAAGCGGTCTAACCTGCCACAAATCACCTGCACAACAGTGTGAATGCATCAACTTGCCGTTCTTGGACCAAAACCATGTACATCTCCGACCATTGGCAAAATGCCCCCATTGAGATAAGTATCGCACTGCTCTGCTACGCACAGTTGCAGCTATGGATCTAGTGATTGTGATTTTAAACAAGAGAAAAATATTCTTAGGCTTTAGATTCAGACCTCCTCATTTGATTAAATTTTATTTTATTCAGGCGTATATTTATTATTCAGATTCAGGCGTAGATTTAAACTTGCAGGTCAATCTGATTCAACAATATACCCAAACAGATGCTATTTGGCATAAGAAAAATGAATGTTGAAAATACAGTATGGCGTAAAATCAAAACGGCGTCTGGGGCCCCAAATTCCCAAAAATGGACGATTTTTCAGAAAATTTTTATAGGGTTTTCGGTGTTACTGATCCTTTAAAGAACCACAAATAAGAGATCCCAAAATGAAATATGGTGAAAATTCAAAATAACGTCTGAATGTTCTCCAAAATAAACCGATGTTTTTAAACTAATCGTCATTTTTCTGTTTGATATCAGTTTTATTATGTCACTAATTAAGCCAAAACAAAACCTCAACTTCATAAATACCGAGAAAAAAACGAGCTTATCGGAACTATTCTCGGAGAAGTGCGTGCTGATTGTACTACCGCGACAGTTACATTTACGGGCTATTTTGGATCATCAACTGAAAGACACATTTCTATGCTCCATTGACTAAACTCTGATGCCTGTCTTATGGGAACTGATAGAAATGTTCTTGAGCAAACAAATTATAAAACTGCCACAGGTTTAAATGATTTTAACTTCTCAAATCAGATGTCAGCTAGAGATGATAAGGTCTATTTCTGAAATGAAGCTAATGTTACATACTGATTATATACTAAACACCAATAAAAAACATCTGTACGATTTCAAAATCAGAGAGGCACATTACGAGAAGGTTAAGAGTCTGTGCACAATCTATACATCAGTATCGGGTGTGTCCACCACCAGTGTCATTAACAGCAGCGCAGCGCCTGTACATGCAGTGGACCAGACAATTGATGAACGCCATTGGCACCTTTAAACACATTCTCAGAAAAGGCTGGCGCAATCCATCGACTGCGTTTGGTCTCGGTACGACGTTATTAAGTCTCCTCTAAATGTCATCCCAAAGATGTTCAATCGGGTTTAAGTCCGGGCTAAGGGCTGACCAGTGCATAACGTTGACACCGTTCCTCTGTAGAAAGTCCCGAGTAACTCTGGCGGTGTGGGCACGGGCGGTGTCATGCTGGAAAACGTTGTTGCGAAATGTGGTAGCTTGATCGATGTAGCGCACTGCTGTGATGCCGCCTCCTCTCCCTGGGCCAAGGTTTTGGAACACTACAGGACGCACTCTCTGGTTCCACACCGGACCATCATGCCTGGACCTCCCCATGAGTCTCGTTCCATGACACATTGGTCAGAATAACGCTGGCCACGTCGACGCCATATTCTGGTCCTGGCATCTGCAGTTGATACACAATACCGACTCGCATCTGTGAACAGAACAGTTCTCCTTTGTCTGTGTCGCCAGTTCTAGTGTTGTTGGGCAAACTGTAGACATTCACGTCGATGGCGAGGAGTGAGGATCGGTCCACTGTAAGGTCTACGGCAATGGATGTTCTCTCTGGTGAGACGTCGGCGTACTGTATCGGTACTGATGGGTCTTCCGTGTGTTCCCACTGTCTGACGTAATGTCTTAGATGCCTGTGTGAAGGGACTCTGCACGTGCTGTTGCACAACATGGCGGTCTTGTTGCATTGTGGTAACCCTTGGTCCACCAGTTCGGGCTCCGAACATTGACCTGGAAGTGATTGGCAACGGCTTGGGCAGTGTGGCCAGCGTCGAGTCTTCCAAGCTGCTGACGTTGTAGTGTGAATGATTCAACCAGGTATGGGTGTGCATTTTATAGGGGTGGTCCCGGTGAACAGCACGTGCAGCATGAGGTCAAGTTGGAGATGTGGTCACAAATATACAATAAATACATTTGGCAAGTTTTACGCAATGCGTTTATTCAGAGTAACATACCAACCCGACGTTTCTTTTGCTGCTTATAATAGTATATTATTTCCGTTCTTTTAAATAAGAAGTTCTGTCTGTTACGTTTGTTTTCATTTTTTACATAGTTCTGAGCTTCTAATTGTTTCAGGCCGACAGATACAGTAATGTTGATTGCTGCATATCAGTATTCCACACCTACAGGAAATTTCGTTCACATCTGTTCATTTTCACAGTTGTTCCAGCTGTTCGAGCAGACTTGATTCGGATCTTCTCACATGATGTCAACTAAGGGCTGATATCGATACTTTGGGACATATTACTATATATGGAAACGCTATTATGTTTTATAAACTGTTGCATTAATGGACGCGTTCTAATAATGCTACATGAATTACCCCAGTCACGAAATTAGCAGTTGTGTTGAAAACATGGCTAGAAATGAGGCTATAAGCACAACATTTTTTGCTCGTCATAATATCCGTTCTGTATCTTCTATAGATGCAAAGAAATGTTCTGGTTCAGAGGTCTTATTGATTGAAAACCAGCTACATGTATGTTAGTCATTAATATTTCATATGTACCTTAACAACACAAATAAATAACTGTTGCATTAATGGACATGTTCTATACATGTATGTACTTACCTCCTAGACTGAACATAGACGAGAAGAGTGCACCAATCCATGATATTGTCAGCGGGTCTATATCTGGGTACGTTTCTAATAACGCCACATGAATTACCCCAGCCACGAAATTCAGAGATGTGTTGAAAAACATGGCTAGAAATGCGGCTATAAGCACAACATTTTTCCTCGTCATAATATCCGTTCTGTCTCTTCTATGGATGCAATCAAATGTTCTGGTTCAGAGGTCTTACCGATTGAAAACCAGCTATGTTAAGTCATAAATATTTCATATGTACCTTAACAACACAAATAAAGTTTGAAAAACAACCCCCAAAAACGTTAAACAGTATTCGACTATACATTGTATAATGTATATGTGTATGTATTTATAAAAAGCCCTTTCTGTCCAAAAGTCACATGGTCTATGTGCCATACGTATACCTGACTGAGTGATTGTTATCTAGAGCGAAACGAAGTTGACTGAATCCACATGATTAGGTACACACTAATTTAGATTTTAAAGATTCAAACAGCTAATAGTGTTTTACAGCCAACCAGGGAAATACCAACGGAAATTGTAGGAAAGTATGGTGGCTGTTAGCGGCCATTCAAATGAATCTAAATCGTCGCCTTCATTTTGTCGTGTCGGCGGGTTGATTTCGTCGACTTGTCGACTTGTCGTGCGGCGACTTGTCAAACTCGAGCATGCGCATTTGCTGATTGGATAACTTGCATGCGCACAGATTAACTTCCGAGGCGACAAGTCGCCGCACGACAAGTCGAAATAATTGTATTTCGTCGACTTGTCGCCTTGTCGGTTGTGAATAAGTCGAAGGCGACAAGTCGCCGTACGACGAAATCAACCTTCATTTTGTCGTGTCGGCGGGTTGATTTCGTCGACTTGTCGACTTGTCGCCTTCGACTTATTCACAACCCGACAAGGCGACAAGTCGCCGCACGACGAAATCAACCCGCCGACACGACAAGGCGACAAGTCGACGAAATACAATTATTTCGACTTGTCGTGCGGCGACTTGTCGCCTCGGAAGTTAATCTGTGCGCGTGCAAGTTATCCAATCAACAAATGTGCATGCTCGAGTTTGACAAGTCGACAAGTCGACGAAATCAACCCGCCGACACGACAAAATGAAGGCGACGATCGTCGGGTAATTTTGTCGTGTCGGCGGGTTGATTTCGTCGACTTGTCGACTTGTCGCCTTCTTCACAAGGCGACGATTTAGATTCATTTGAATGGCCGCTAACAGCCACCATAGGAAAGACATAAATTGCGATACTGTTTCCCAAATGAAATGAAAGTCTTAATAAATATTACAGTAAGGATGTACTCTTCCCCAGACAAAATACATGTAGCATACTATACATGTAGCATAAATGAAGCTCCAGATTGAACGTGGATTTCAGAAACGAAGGTAAACGCATGGGCTAAGTACAACACAAATTGTTACCTATCTGCCCCACCCCTTCCCCCATACTCGTGCCTTCATCGGTTATTTCATATATTAAATCTTTTCTCGTTTTATGAAACATATTTTTATAAATGCGTTTGGTAATTTCACTCTCGACTAAAAAATGTTCCGGTTTCGAATCCCGAGCAGAAAATTCGGTATTTTACAACCTTGGCCTTTCAATGGAAATACACACTCTTTGGGATTGAACGAAAACGTGGACATAAAGGAACACTTAAACATGGATTATGCAAAAAGCTAAATCTGCCCGTTGCAAGTCTTTCCTTGGGCCGGAAATGTTATCTATATTATTAATTAGACATTGATTAACTTATCCAGACCATAATCAACTTTCGATGCCATCGTTAGCCTGTGATATTTACTGGATTTGAATACATTTTGTGATGGATAATTTAACGTAAAAATCTATAATCGAGACTTTGTTTGTTATCATACCAACGAGAAATGACGACCGAGACTAGACTAAAATCTTGGTTCAGATTGAAGCAAGTTGACTGATATTTTCAGCATATTTTGTTTTCATTATCTGTTTTATAATTATTATAGTGAGAACTGTCAGCTCTTTATCTAATCTTACCTAATGCCCCTTTAACATCAAGTAAGGGTATGGAATAATTCTCTGTCTGGGGTAGAATTATGTTACATTACATTGTACAGGTAATCATAGAAACCTGGGCGTCACGTGTTCGTTCCCGATGTTGGTCGAGAAAGTGCATTGGGGGTTTCCGGCATGGTGCTGGACGGTGAACCGGTAATGGACAACGTATAGTTTGGTGGGACTAAAATTCGAGATCACGTGTTCGCATTGGGGTACACGTAAAAGAACCCTTTGCAATTTGAATCCGATATAAACTTTGGCCTTAGCGTCACTGCAAGTATTCCTTCATAGCACACGTATGCCCGTCTTCATTTGCCAAGTAGGTACAGAAAAGTGGGCGTTAAACCCTAGTTCATTTAATAGAAATAGAAACTACCATTGGTTGTAAAAGTATAGAAGTATTGTCTTGGTATATTCGAATTCAAACTTTAATTTTACATGCATTGCGAACCTTAGTTTATTAACTATCGAGCGAGTCACATATGGTACCAATCCTAGCAATCCCTGGACATTGCAGTGTTCTACCACGACCCAGGGCGGGGATGCAGGACATAGGCAATAAAATGTGTGTGCTATTATTTTTAATTTGTATTATCGCTGAACCCTAATTATATTTCATATAAATTTGTCGATTTGGAAGATCTCAAACAATAAAAGTCTTGTTCATTTTCTTACCAAGAGTAACACCTATGTTTACAAAAATTCGAAATCAAGCGAATCCTGTCTTATCGACATAACATTACCTCGAAATATTCCACATCACCAAATTCTGTCCGAGGTCTTGGTCCGAGTTGCCTGGATACCATCTAGGAGGCGCCCGACCAAGGTGTATAATACTTTCAACACGGTTATAAGCATTTGTTACATGCACTGCAGTTTAAACAATTACTATCACCCTCTTCGGTATTGCTGAATTGTATTTAAAACAAGACGTTCCCCTTTCTCCAGTTGTTTGGGATTGAGATAGTCGTCTAATTCCACCACGGTCTCGAGGCCAAAACATTAAACTCAGTTCTCAACCTCACAGATGATTTTTATTTGCCAATTTATATTTCAATTATTTTATCTAGAAAAGTATTTTGAAATACAGCATCAATTAATAACCAGTACATTATTAATCTTTGTACGGACATTCAGGTTCTGTACAGCTTTTAGATGGATTGGTAGAATTCATAAACTTAAAGCAACAGTTATCCAAATTTACCTGGAAACATCCTTCATAATCAAAAACCCCGCCATTGTAACCGATGCTGAAAAGATATAACGTATATTACAAAACATCTATCGTCGACAATGGGTATAAATATTTCTTTAGATATGAAAATTCATTGGGGAATGATCAAGTCAGATTATATTTAAACTTTGAGAAGATCTGTCTATCGTATGGAAATATATACATGGAGATATCTGTAAGCACTTATTGAAAATTGTTCAAAATCACTAGGGGTTTTTCTTTCAATAAACTGTACTACTTAATTTGTAGTAATACTGGACTTGTTTGCTGTGTTGTCTTTATGATCGTAAATATAACTACAGGTTAGGTCGTTTATACAACTTCATTATTATTAAAACTGCTTGGCATCAATGTGCCTCGTTCTCAATAAAGTGTATATTTTATAGCCTTTGATGGCTGCTCTAGCAAACTGGGTGAGCTCTTGTGAATTTCGCCCAACACACTCTTTTACGATAACCCCCTAATTTCTTTACGCCATAGACTGACCTTGGCGTTAATTTCTTTCCCAAATATGGAATAAACATCCCCAACCCCAAACAACATTACCTCATTTGGTCCACAAAACACGTGTCATAACAAGATAGTATTTGATGGATATTCTGACAATGGAAAGGACAAAACCAGTGTTTTTACCAAATTATCACTGCTTTGATATACAAACACATCAGTCAATTTCATTTGAGTGCGTGAGATATGACTCTGTACAAAGTGCGAATCTAAAAATCGGTTAAAGATACAATATGGTCGCAAATCGAAACCTGTAAAATGGCAACGGACATTAAAATATGGCCAACTAAAAATAATTCACGAAATCCCAAAATAAACCGAAACAATACGTACAGAATATCTCTCACACAGAAAAGTCCTGTGAGAAGTAGTATCGGTTGTTGCGGAACGACATCAATACCCTACCTTTAGCTAATATGTGTAGAGTAGAGTGGCGACTCGCATTACGGCCCATGCATAGAAACACAGCGACGCGCAATGCATCTTGGGAATTGTCTGTAATAAACACACACTGACAGTTCGCTCAACGACGTTACGATATCTATATCTCTTTAATTTCGTAGTTTTATAGTAGTTTTATAGTATTTTCGGTAACAGAACTACTGAGAATTATCACATACAATCATAATATGTTAGTTGTGTGTGTGTTTCGGGAATTTATAAAACAAGATTCATATTTTTAAAACATGCATAAAGCGTGGTACGGCCCGGAATGAAGTGAGACTGAGACGAGAGACGGCATTTGTGACGGTTTACGATTTGGTCTATTTAAGGCCGTAAATTATTGTCGATTTTTATTATTATTGGCACTTTAACATTTTCAAATGGCCCATTTTAAGGTGTATGGAAATTACATTTCAAATCTAGAAATCGAAACTACAAGTATTTGGTGGATAAGTTTTAAAGTTAATAAAAACTTTTAACAATCGACTATAATTTACAGCCTAGACCAATTCGTAAATCGTCACAATTATTGCCGTCTTTCACTTCAGCCCTGGCTGTCCCACGCTGCGTTAATCCATATTTTTAAAATATGAATCATGTTTTATAAATTCCCGAAACACACACACAACTAACATATTATTATGATTGTATGTGATAATTCTCAGTAGTTATGTTACCGAATATACTATAAAACTACGAAATTAAAGAGATTTGGTTATTTTTACTCTGTGATGTTTAGTGACATTACAGACAAACCCCAAGATGCAGTGCGCGACCTACTTTGTATGCAAATGAAGCAGTCGCCACTCTGTGTATTTTTACTCTGTGACGTGTACGGCCTGACGTAATAATACGATTTGACACATCGATTGGATCCAGATAAATTATCTACTCGTTGTACTTTAAACGCACTAGTCAACTACATTGACTGTAGCAACATCGAAATGTCTAACCTTGGTTTCCGACTGAGATCTAATTGAACACATAGCTTATTTTAATCTTACCCGGCAATGTTAATATAACCCGTTCCACAATGATATTCGATACACTCTGTGTAAGATTTCTTTGATTCTCCTACTTGGAGAATACCAACTGGTGTAGTACATGGGACATCAGCTCCTATTAACAATAACATCCCATTAAATCATCTTCAAAGGGGAAGACCAACGATTTCAACAAGGTTCCATCAACCTTAAATATAATCCTTGAGTGGCATTTAGCGATTGAACACATTAAAAGCACAACACAGTTTATATGGAAATACAAAATGAAATGAAATGAAATGGGGTTTAACGTCCTACTGTTCTGCTCCTAACCTGGGCTAATGAAGACGGGCATACGCCATATAGTGTGCTATGAGGGAAATTTTGCCCGGGCAGCGGCACTATCGCCTACTCTTATATCGAATTCCAACTGCCAAGGGATCTTTTACGTGCATTCCAATGTATACACGGGACCTCGGTTTTTCGTCTCATCCGAAGGACTAGACAGCTGTCCTTGTCAGGCCCTCCGTCCTGCATCACTGACAAGGGGGAACCACGCCGGAAAATCTGGATGAACTTTCTCGGCCAATGCAGGGATCGAACACCCGACCTCCAGGCTAGCGAGCCAGCGCCTTACCCACTTAGCCACGTGGTCCCCTATATGGAAATACAAATCACGATAAGAGAATACTTGTCGAAACGTCGTGCTATGCCTATAAACCATTGACATATATGGAAATACAAATCACTGGTTTATAGGCATAGCACGACGTTTCGACAAGTATTCTCTTATCGTTATCAAGCACAAATGATGATTAGTTAAAGGCTCAATACCACTCTTCTTGTAACTGAATAATATGTCCCAATCTTTATTCTGGTCAACAAATTGTACTATTTTAGAATATTTCAATTAATTGATGATACAAATTTCATCTTAACACACCTTATTTAAAAATTTTGAAAAATTCAACATAATGGTTTGAAACGTCTAACGTAAACCTTTTCAAATGAAACTTCGATTTAAAAATATTTTCGAACCCTCTGGACAAGTAAAATAGGATGTAATGGATAATTTACACAACAGGTAGGACACATAAACATATAGTACTTAGATAGAGATATTATTTATTTTCTGGGGCTTTCAAGCCAGCAAGAGTGTTATTGTCCCTTTAAACTAAATTTGTAATTATGCAATTAAGATGTTATACTGTATACATCTATTATTACACCTTTCTTATTAGTAGGGCTTCACAATTGTGTTTATTTTGTCTATATTACATTTATGTCTTTGTTACTCCCTGATTATTGTTAACCCCTATCAATTAAACTATTATTTAAGTTTTAATTATCCTTTCATCAATTATTATCTTGTATTATAACAGCGTATGTCTATGGCTTCTTTTTTTTCTTGTCTGTGATATCACCTTAGGTGGAAGTGGACGTAAAACTCTAGAAACGAACGAACGAAGCTTCTTTTTTGTTTTACTATAAATATCACCTTTTAGTTTAACTAATTATCATTTGTGCTTGATAACGATAAGAGATTACTCGTCGAAACGTCGTGCTATGCCTATAAACCAGTGATTGTATTTCTATATAAACTCTGATGTGTTTTTAACCTTAAATATATATTCAGAAATAATCCCCTCTGTAACACAAGCAAAAATGCTTTTACAAGCGAGAAATTCATTTTTATTAAACCCTGAAGTGATGTAGTTGGTTCAACACGCTCACTGGTCTCTATCCTAAGCATACAGATTTGGCATATGTTTACTGCTGTATTTTGTGCATGCGTCGTTGTTTGGCAAAATATATAATCAAATGGGCTGTTTATTGGGATATAATAAACACGAATTTATATTTTTTAACGTTTAGTACAAAAAGCCGTCGCGTAAATTCACTACAGTACCTGTTGGCCCAATTCAAGCCAAATGGCTATTTGTTAAGATCATGTGGTTTGTTGAGCAGCCTGCAAGTGGCATCTATTTCATCTGCTTCGATATTTTATTGCTTGCTGGCAGTGCTTTTCCACATAAACAGACCAAAGTTATTTTGGCACATAATGTCGACGTGAACGACATTTTCCTATTTTTCTTCCATTTCCTCTTGAGAATGGCTGGGCTCGAATATATATGTGGCATTAGTGTAGACTCATAGAAGAGATGTCTTATATTCCGATACGTTAGTGTCTGAAGTTGACAAACTTTAGAAGTTTGTATATTTATTAGAATATTTATGTGCCACAAGTCCGTTGAAATAAATAAAAACACTTGTCAGCAGACTCAGCACGCACAAAAACATTCAAGCAGACGAAACATATCGCACTTACCGGGTTTCAAACAACTCTCGTGATGTACAATTAGCCGCGTGGTGTGAATTTACGCGTCGGTCGGATTTTTGTATTAAACGTTAAAAAAACCGTATAATTTCATATTTATAACATCCCCACATCATCCAAACGACGATGTGTGAACATAATATATTACTAAACATACGCCAATTATGTATGCCTTGTATAGAGACTAGTGAGCGTGTTGAACCAACTACATCACTTCAGGTTTTAATAAAAAAAATTAACTTCTTGGTTACAAAAACTTTTTGCTTGTGTTACAGAGGGGATTATTTCTGAATATATTTTTAAAATTTATGAAAACCTTGTTGAAAATCGTTAATCTCTCCCTTTAATACAACGCATTGTTAACATTTCACATCCATAATTATATCCATTTTGTTATGAAATCAATTAAATTTTGGATATACAATACAATGTAAACTATGTATATCAATAACGTATTGTTCATTGTCGTTTACTTTTTGCAATACTTTGGGCGCCGTTGGTAAAACTACGGAGCCCCTTAAGTGCACGAATCCACTCTTATATATTTTTTTCGTGCACAAAACCACTTTCGTTTAAACGTTTTTGCAATCCCAAAAATAGATGACACATTAAATCAATTGCACAGGTTATCTATATACTTGGTCCAAGCAGAAAATGTTCACGATCAAACTTTGACATTGGAAATGTTTTCCAACCAGTTGACGCGTATGTAATATTTCGACAATCAAGGAGTCAAAATTAACAAGCCATCAGTGAGGCTGATGTCCCCCGCCGCAATCCTAAAATAAATAGATGACACATATTAATGACACATTTATCCCTTTGAAAACTACCGAGCAATCAAACAGATTATCTATCACGATCGAACCGAGTCAAGGTTTTGAAGTACCTGGTAGTGAAACTATGCACTAAGTTTCATCACTCTCAATCAGTTAGAATCGAAGTAATCTTGTCCCAAAGCATCGACCAATGAATTTGCTTTGCTCTACACAGTTTTAGCGGAAAATGTTAATCATTGAACTCGGTCAAGATATTCACCTAATGAATATCTACACCAAGTGTAAACATTCTACCTCAATCAAAATCAGAGTTATCTTTAAAAGCCTTGACCAATCAAATTGCTTATATCGCTACTTAGCCTAAGCCAAAAACTCTCATCATCGACCTTAGTCAAGGTATTTATGTGGTGAAACTCTACACCTGACTTTCATCACTCTAACCCAATCAGAAACAAAGTTATCGTGTTCCAAAGTCTCAACCAATCAAACTGCTTATCTCTGCTTAGCCGGAGTGGAGAATGAGCATGATCGCACACTGTCACGACGTTCACCTAATAGACATCGAACTGTCTACCTCAATTAGAAGGAGAGTTATTGTAAGCATCACCCAATCAAATTGCTTTTCTCTGCTTATAGCTTCAGCATAAAATGCTCATCTTTGAACTCCATCAAGGCGGGGGGGGGGGGCAAAACATATTCATCAGAATATGGAAAACTTACCAGGTGGATCCTTCCATTGTAGAGCTGTAAATGCACATATCTTGGAGACAAACAGCATTAAACAGAGAGTATACAGAAAAAAGCACAAACAGTTCCTCATCTAAAAATATAAAATATATGTATTGCTTTCTAAAATCAACCGCCAAGAGGGTCCGTACTTTGCTGGAACCAGCCCCTGAGATTAAACCCGAGCTATTAAACGCTTAAAGATACATTATGGGAGATTAGATAAAGAGCTGGCAGTTTTCACCATAACAGTTAAAAACTAGATAAAGTAAAAGGAGTTTGCTGAAAATTTCAGTCAATTGATCCAATCTGAACCGAGAATTTAGCGAATCGATTTTCGGCCTGGCCTCGATCATCATTACTAAAGTCGGAACGATAAAAAACCATACGTCTTGATTATCCAGTTAATTAATGTCTAATTAATAGTTTATATAAGAAAGACCTGCAATAAGCAGATTTATCTCTTGCATAACGTATGTTTAACACACTATAAAATATATAAACTGAATAACTTACTTTTACGGAATACTCTTCAAAAACGTGAACAGTTAATATTTCACAATTCACAAGGGAATGGTATTTATACCCTTATTTATTGGATACATTTGACATCTGTGCGAAATTAAAACAGCAGTTAAGATAGATATTAAATCAATTATTGCAACATCAATATTTTGGTGATTCTTTTTTGCCGAACTGGTACCTATTCAGAGGACACATCTGTGTCAAATTAAATCTTATATTAACAAATAATTAACAACTGCTGAATCATCACAACATGTACATTGTACGCCCCTGTTCATTTGAAAATGTCAGTTACAAACAAGTGACACTAAATGTCATAATAATTAATAATCAGTTATATGCGCAGTTTTACAAATTATGTTAACCCGATTTTTAAATATATACTCTTAAAAAAATGGGGGATATTCAGAAACAATACAAAACTGCGGAAATGCACTGCTGTTTTTGTTAGAGGTAACCAGTGTATGTTAATAAGAGGCCAATTGCCTACACATGAACATAAACAGTTCATATTGTCGGCTTATTTGACGGCTCCATTTCACTTACAAAGAGATACACCGTCAAAAGTGAAAATGGACGTTTTGGATTTTTGTCTTAATAATGAGTAATTGCGCCGCCAATCCTCAGACATTCAGCAATTCGTCGTGGCATGCTCCTAATCAACCGTAATATCACAATTTGGGACAATCTTACCCACTCCTCTTGCAGTGCCACGGCCAATTCTTGCAGTGTTGTCGGTTGACGTTGACGTCGACGAACACGTCTCCCGATCCAATTAAACGTAACACACTAAAGCAAAGATACGCTAAACAGTAAATCGTATGCAAGAACCGATAGGAAAGCAAACATGGATAGATAAACCAGCACGCGGCAGTTTTCATCAACCCTTCCTTGAAGTGTCAAATTTGACAATGAACCCCTCCCACGTCTATGGTGCTATTGCGTGTCGCATGTGCAGCTCAGTGGTTCTGTTGGGGCGATAAGTTCTTCATCTGTGAACATACTCTCAAATCATGTCAAATTTCCATGGCTATTTATCATATCGCAACTTGCATAGGTATTTGCATTTCAATATCCCCTACTTTTTTTTTGAAGAGTATAAATGGATTGGCGCAGCACGTTTTTGTTATGAAACTTTATCATTCTGACCTAGAACTTATACACGATTCCAAACAGAGAGAAAGAAAGAGAAATGGGGTTTAACGTCCACTCGACACAAACTAGGTCATTTCGGGACTAACACATGGTTCAATTTTATTTTAATAAAATTCGCTTGTGCGTAGGGGTCCTTAGAAGTGGGGGGAAACCAGAGGACCGGGAGAAAACCCACGAAGTTGAACAGGCGACCCTACTCCTTGTCACGTAAAACCGGGGAAGCGAAACCACGCGCGACAGACCTTATGATACAGCGAGCACGTGATAACCATTCGGCCATCCAACCCCCCCGCGATTCGGGACACCGGGAAGTTTCATTTTATAGCTAGTAGAACAATCCCGGGAAGTTTGAAGACATTAATCTTCAACTCTCTGACTAGTAGATTTTTTTAACAGTTAAGCTAATCCCCATTATATGAAAGAACCAGGAGGGTTGTTCCTGTTGCATCCACGACAGTACACGATGGATCCTCGACGTGAAAAAAAAAATCCCGCGGCACTTTAAGTATTTCCTCGGACTTATGGTAGCAGTGTATACACGTATGCATATACATGGTGATTAAGATCGAGGATATTCATTGCCCGTCGCAAATATGTACACATGGAAACCTTACATGAATTATAAGCGAACCGAGGGACAGGCAGGGTGACGACAACATGCTCCAATCTAACATGTGAGTGTACCAGACGCTAAAACGACTGCGTTTCTCATTTAAAAAAAAGAAGGGTGTTATTTCAAAAATGCATATTTATGTATTTTTAAGCACATCACCAGGCTTGGTATTTTACAGTTTGGTGAACATATAGTATAATAACATCAATAAAAAAAACCCGTTAGGTCTATATCCAATATAGACAGAAATACTGTTAACATTAAAATGACTGAACCTTGATAAAAGTTTTCCACTGTTAGCGAGACTTAAAGGGGTAGTTGTTAGATAATCATACAAGCTCCTTTTAATCTTAATATTTATATACAAAAAGATCGGGATTTATTATAGATCCACATGTATACGTCCAAACTGACACAACAGTGCCTAGTAATTCGAAAGAAACGAACACCCGAAGTCATAAACCCTATTAAAAATAGCTGGGATTTTTTAGACCAATATTATGTCTTTGATATACGAACACGTTTAATTATTTATGGACTTAATTTTATAATTATTGTGACACGTGGTATCTTTAAGAGTTAATGCTCACGAATACGAGTATCTTTGTGCGTGGTTCGTTAATCAGTTTGTATATGTATATGTTGACGCGACAAAAACAAAAATGTTCGAGAAGAGGGCTTAGCTGCTCATAAATGAGATTGAATGACCAAACGCAGCTTTTCATTTATAAGCGTGTCAGGTAGAAAAGTATTCCAATATAACATCCCACAATAACTGAAAGTCGAGCATATTTTCCACTTACATTTTACTCTGGTTTGATAAATATTTCAAGAATGTATCTTTATCTATGTAAAGCTTCTTAACAAAAGACGTCATTGTTGAATATGTCTAGCGCCTTTTCTGTGTAACCGAGTAGTGAAGACACTATATGTGGTCTAGACTCTCGGGCTATAATGTTCCAGTTTCGAATCACGAGACGAAAATTCGGTATTTTACAACCTTAGCCTACACATTTCAGTGGTGGTGCCATGCGAGGCTTTCAGTAGAAATACACATAGTGTTTGGGATTGGACGAAAACCCGAGGCCACCCGTACACGCATTTTCGTGCACATAAAAGAACAATTAACATCAAGTAAGGGTATGGAATAATTCCTCGATCTGGGGTAGAATTATCCTACATTAGATTGTACAGGTAATCATAGAAATGCGGGAGCCGAGGTGGTTCGGTGATTAAGACGTTGGCTCGCTAACCTGGACGTCCCGTGTTCGATCCCGGTGTTGGCCGAGGAAGTGCATTGGGATTTTCCGGCGTGGTTCCGACTTATCAGTGGTGCAGTACGGAAGGCCGGCAAGGGACAATATATAGTAGTTCGGATGGGACGAAAAACCGAGAGCACCCGTTCACATAGGCATGCACGTAAAAAAAAAAGCCCTTGACATTCGGAATTCGATATAAAATTTGGCCGTAGAGTCATTTCACGGGGAAGATATCCGCCATAGCACACGTATGCCCATCTTCATTAAACCAGTAGGTGAAGAAATAGAAACTACCATTAGTTGTAAAAGTATAAAAGTATTGCATTGATGTATTTGTGTTCAAACTTTTATTTTACGTTCATTGTCAATGTGTACCTGGTGGGCTTCAGTTTCTCATACAATCCGACTAGGCACATATTTATTGTCCCATATGGTACCAATCCTAGCAATCCCTAGACATTGCAGTGTTATAACACGACCCTAGACATTGCAGTGTTATAACACGACCCTAGACATTGCAGTGTTATAACACGACCCAGGGCGGTGATGCAGGACACAGACAATAAAATAAGTGTGCTATATTTCATATAAATTTGTCGATTTGGAAAGATATAGCAAACAATAAAAGTCTTGTTCATTTTCTTACCAAGAGTAACACCGATGTTTTCAAAAATTATAAATCAAGCGAATCCTTTACCGAAACAACATTGCCTCGAGATCTTGGTCCGAGTTGTCTATGATTACCATGTAGGAGACCCCCGACCAAGGTGTATAATACTTTCAACACGGTTATCAGCATTTGTTACATGTACTTTAGTCTTGAATAACCGCCACCCTCTTCGGCATTGCTGAATTGTATTTAAAACAAACTTTCACCCCCCCCCCCAGTTATGGGAGGGGCATCCTAAGGTGAATAGCCTAGGACCTCGCGTCATTTAATTCCGCCACTGTCTCAAGCCTCAATATTAAAACTCAATTCTCGAATTCACGAATGAACTTTATTTGGCAATCTATATTTCAATTATTTTATCTAGAAAAGTATTTTGAAATATAGAAGCATTTAACAACCAGTACATTATCAATCTTTTCACGGACAACTGGGTTCTGTACAGCTTTCAGAGGGATTGGTAGAATTCATAAACGTAAAGCAGCAGTTATCCAAATTTATCTGGAAACATCCGTTGAAACCAACCTTCCCGGCATTGTAACCGATGCTGAAAGGATATAACGTGCATTACAATATATCTATCGTAGACATTCGGTATAAATATTTAAATCTATCATGTGGAGATAAAATAGAATGGGTTGATTAAAACTTCAGAACATCTATGTAAGTAACCATTGAAAATTGTTTAAAATCATTACGCGTTTTACTTTCAATAAACTGTACTAATTGATTCTTTGGAAATCGAAATCATAATTCACGAAATACCAGAATAAACCGAAAAAATACCTACAGGGTGGTGCCGAAACACATCAATACCCTACCTTGTGTATGACATCCGCTAGAACTATGAGACGAAAATCAAAAATACTTTAGCAAATATGTGTACGGCCTGACGTAATAATACGATTTGACACATCGATTGGATCCATATAAATTACCTACTCGTTGTACTTTAAACGCACCAGTCAATTAAATTGACGGCAGCAACGTCAAAATGCAAAATGTCTAACTTTGGTGTCTGGCATCTAATCTACCGCCGAATTGAAAGCATGGCACCAAGTTAAACTTACCCAGCAATGCTAATGTAATCCGCTTCACAATAATATTCGACACACTCTGTATAGGATTTCTTTGATTCTCCTACTTGGAGAATACCAACTGATGTAGTACATGGAACATCAGCTCCTATTAACAATAACATCCCATTAAATCATCAATAATACAATGCATTGTTAACATTTCACATCCATAATTCTGTTATGAAATCATTTAATTTGTGGATATACAATGTAAACTATGTATACCAATAACGTATTGTTCATTGTCGTTTACTTTTGGCAATTCTTTGGACGCCATTGTAAAAGAAAACACCCCTGTCGGTTGTTGTAAGTGATTAGTTGGACGGTTTAAAAGACATGTTTTCAACATTGCTAATGCATTATAATTGAAAGTGTAAAAAAGAAATATATTTGCCCAGTAATATGGAAATATTTTCCAATCAGTTGACGCATATTTAATATCTATACTTATTGCAAATTGTAAAACAAACCAATACATTTTGGTTCAATGATACGTATGACAGACAACATCATACTCAAATTGGGCCATATTCGAATAATGACGTAATTCATATAATAATTCAATATGGCGGTCTTCAACAAGTTTCGTAGAGCGTTATCTCGTGATCAGCGTGTTTTAGTGGTGGGAGAATAACTTTTTTTTAATGGTATTTTCCCAATATAACCAGCGAGAATCTCGTAAGATATGACTTTTGCTATTTCTTTTAAATGATTTTCGAGGTCTCTGAATATAAAGACACATTTTGAAAATACAATACAGCAGTAATTCAAAATGGCATCTAAAATGGCGGATTTTAAGTTAATCGTCATTTTTCCTGTTGGATATGACTTGTAACGTGTCATTTATTTGGTTTTCTGTGTCGATGGGTTCAATTCTGATTTTAAAAATAAAATTCGCGAATTCATGATGGCAGAAATGCAAAATGACCACAACACTGAAATCTCAAACAGCGGAATTTCAAATAAACGTCATCAAATCTTTTACTTTCGTTAGATATGGCTTGGAATATGTCTTATATCAGGGTTTTGAGGTTGCCGAGTTAAATTTCTATCCAAAAATCTGATTATGAATCATAGCCCAGATGGGTTACATTTAAAACGCCAATGAAAATAGAATCCAATACGGCGATTTTTGTTCTTGTGGACATCAATTGAAAAATAAAATTTTCAGAGATACTGAATTCAATATGGGGTTCATAAATTAATTTCTGATAAGATTGGCAGACATAGAATTAGTGCCTAAACTGGAGATATCATGCCATACCAGAGAAAACAGGTGAGGTTCTCTCCGAACAGACGTAAACTTTCTTTAGAAAAACAGACTGTAAATGGTGCTTTATAGAGTAAATCTTGGTGTTTCTAGCAGCAACCTTAGCAATTCATCAAAAAACTACGCAAATTCATGACTAAAAGCGGACTCCAGGCCAAGCAAGCACACTTAGGAAGATCCCGGGCCACACCATGTTCCTGAAGCAACGATCGCGAGTTTTACAACATCTAACCCTTGCTTCAGTACTGGGCAATTCCCGAAATTTTGCGCTCGTTGTGTTTACACGTGACCAATTAGCATTGTCCAATCAGGGGTCGTCGCACATAACACACTGTAAACAAATATGGCGGCCTCCATCGAAACTTTTTGTTGATCAGGTATGATTTCCAGCAACCTTGACATTGATCGAACCTTGAACTTTGCAACTAGATTGTCACATGTAGACATTTTAGCTATAAGCGCGAGACTTGATAATCGTAACGATATTTTTAACGAAGGAATCTGATAGGATCTCAAGCTGGGCTTATACCCAATCAAAAATAGTGCCAAAATATGCGGGGTATTACGTGAAGGGCTTCATAAGATGTACGTAGTTAAGGCGAGATTAAGCCTTCTATTGAAGATCGCGGCACACTGGTTGAGAATCACTGCTCTAACCCTATCAGAAACAAAGTTATCATGTTCCAAAGTCTCAAACAATCAAACTGCGTATCTCTGCTTAGCCGTAGTGGAAAATTCGCATGATCGCACACTGTCAAGACATTCAATAGACATCTAACCCAAGTTTGAACAGTCTACCCCAATTAGAAGGAGAGTTATTGTAAGCATCACCCAATCAAATTGCTTTTCTCTGCTTATAGCTTAAGCAGAAAATGCTCATCTTCGAACTCCATCAAGGCGGGGGACAAAATATATTCATCAGAATCAATTGACGCTATGGAAAACTTACCAGGTGGATCCTTCCATTGTAGAGCTGTAAATGCACATATCTTGGAGACAAACATAATTAAACAGAGAGTATACAGAAAAAAGCATACACAGTTCCTCATCTAAAAATATAAAATATATGTATTGCTTTCTAAAATCAACCGTACTTTGCTGGAACCAGCCCCTGAGATTAAACCCGAGCTATTAAACGCTTTAAGATACATTATGGGAGATTAGATAAAGGGCTGGCAGTTCTCACTATAACAGTTAAAAACTAGATAAAGTAAAAGGAGTTTGCTGAAAATTTCAGTCAATTGATCCACTCTGAACCGAGAATTTAGCGAATGAATTTTCGGCCTAGCCTCGATCATCATTACTAAAGTCGGTACGATAAAAAACATACGTCTTGATTATCCATTTCATGGTTTAATCATGAATGAAAGTTGAGCAGCAAATCGGATCCTAGCGATGACATCGAGAGTTGATTATGGTCTGGATAAGTTAATTAATGTCTAATTAATAGTTTATATAACATTTCAGGCCTAAAGAAAGACCTGCAATAAGCAGATTTATCTCTTGCATAACGTATGTTTAACACACTATAAAATATATAAACTGAATAACTTACTTTTACGGAATACTCTTCAAAAACGTGAACAGTTAATATTTCACAATTCACAAGGGAATGGTATTTATACCCTTATTCAGTAGAAACATTTGACATCTGTGCGAAATTAAAACAGCAGTTAAGATAGATATTAAATCAATTATTGCAACATCAATATTTTGGTGACTCTTTTTTGCCGAACTGGTACCTATTCAGAGGACACATCTGTGTCAAATTAAATCTTATATTAACAAATAATTAACAACTGCTGAATCATCACAGCATGTACATTGTACACCTCTGTTCATTTGAAAATGTCAGTTACAAACAAGTGACACCAAATGTCATAATAATTAATAATCAGTTATATGCGCAGTTTTACAAATTATGTTAACCTGATTGTTTAATATATATTGTCGCTACTTAAAGTATCTGGGTGTATTCCAAACTACAGTATTGTAAAAGATGAATCTGTAAATGTGATATCAGTCTAAAAATGGTTGTTCGTAATAGAAAACCAATGACTGAACTTCTAACTTAATCACAATCATTTTTTTACAAGAAATTTAGTGATGATGTCTAATTTTCAAAAGTGAAAATGGACGTTTTTGATTTTTGTCTTAATAATGAGTAATTGCTCCACCAATCCTCAGACATTCAGCAATTCTTCGTGGCATGCTTCTAATCACCGTCCAGTCACGATTTGGGGAAATCTGACCCACTCCTCTTGCAGTGCCACGGCCAATGCTTGCAGTGTTGTCGGTTGAGGTTGACGTCGACGAACACGTCCCCCGATCAAATTAAACGTAACACACTAAAGCAAAGATATGCTAAACAGTAAATCTTATGCAAGAACCGATAGGAAAGCAAACATGGATAGATAAACCAGCACGCCGCAGTTTTCATCAACCCTTCCTTGAAGTGTCAAATTTGACAATGAAAACCTCTCACTTGTATGGCGCTATTGCGTGTCGCATGTGCAGCTCAGTGGTTCTGTTGGGGCGATAAGTTCTTCATCTGTGAACATACTCTCAAAGCATGTCAAATGTCCATATCATATCGCAACCTGCATAAGTATTTTCATTTCAATATCCCATACTTTTTTTGAAGAGCATATATGGATTGGCGCAGCACGTTTTTGTTTTATTAAACTTTATCATTCTACCCTATACTTATACACGATTCGGAACAGAGAGAGAGAGAGAGAAATGGGGTTTAACGTCCACTAGACACAAACTAGGTCATTTCTGGACTAACATATGGTTTAATTTTATTTCAATAATTCGCTTGCGCGTAGGGGTCTTTAGCAGTGGGAGGAAACCGGAGGACCCGGAGAAAACCCACGAGGTTGGACAGGCGACCCTACTCCTTGCCACGTACAACCGGGGATTCGAAACCAAGAGATAGAAAGAGAAATGGGGTTTAACGTCCACTCGACACAAACTAGGTCATTTCGGGACTAACACATGGTTCAATTCTATTTCAATAATTCGCTTGTGCGTAGGGGTCCTTAGCAGTGGGGGGAAACCGGGGGACCCAGAGAAAACCCACGAAGTTGAACAGGCGACCCTACTCCTTGTAACCACGCGCAACAGATCTTATGATACAGCGAGCACGTGATAACCATTCGACCATCCAACCCCCCCCCCCCCCCCCACGATTCGGGACACCGGGAAGTTTCATTTTATCGCTAGTAGAACAATCCCAGGAAGTTTGAAGACATTAATCTTCAACTCTCTGACTAGTAGATTTTTTTAACAGTTAAGCTAATCCCCATTATATGAAAGAACCAGGAGGGTTGTTCCTGTTGCATCCACGACAGTACAAGATGAATGGACGTGAAAAAAAATTCCCGCAGCACTTTAAGTATTTCCTTAGCAGTATATACACGTATGCATATACATGGTGATTAACATGTTGGAGACCCCCGACCAAGGTGTATAATACTTTTGACACTTTCATAAGCATTTGTTACATGTACTGCAGTGTTGAATAACCGCCACCCTCTTCGGCATTGCTGAATTGTGTTTAAAACAAACTTTCATCTTCCCCCAGTTATGAGGCAATAGTTCCTTAATGGAATAGCCTAGGACCTCGCGTCATCTAATTCCGCCACTGTCTCGAGCCTCAAAATTAAAACTCAATTCTCGAATTCACGAATGACCTTTATTTGGCAATCTATATTTCAATTATTTTATCTAGAAAAGTATTTTGAAATATAGAAGCATTTAACAACCAGTACATTTTTAATCTTTTCACGGACAGCTGGGTTCTGTACAGCTTTCAGATGGATTGGTAGAATTCATAAACATATAACAACAGTTATCCAAATTTACCTGGAAACATCCTTCTATACCAAACTTCCCGGCATTGTAACCGATGCTGAAAAGATATAACGTGCATTACAATATATCTATCGTCGACATTCGGTATAAATATTTAAACTTTGAGAAAATCTATCAAATAGATAAAATAGAAACGGTTGATGAAAACTTGAAAACATCTATGTAAGTAAGCATTGAACATTGTTTAAAATCATTACGCGTTTTTCTTTCAATAAACTGTACTAATTGATTCTATGGAAATCGAAACCAGCGAAATGGCAACGGATATTGCAATCAAGCCATCTAAATATAATTCACAAAATAGCAGAATAAACCTACAGGGTGGTGCGGAAAAACATCAATACCCTACCTTGTGTATGACATCCGCTAGAACTATGAAACGAAAATCAAAAATACTTTAGCAAATATGTGTACGGCCTGACGTAATAATACGATTTGACACATCGACTGGATCTAGATAAATTATCTACTCGTTGTACTTTTTAAAGCAATCAACTAAATTGACGGCAGCAACGTCAAAATGCAAAATGTCTAACTTTGGTGTCGGACATCTAATCTACAGTCGAATTGAAAGCATGGCACCAAGTTAAACTTACCCAACAATGCTAATGTCACCCGCTCCACAATAATATTCGATACAGTCTGTGTAAGATTTCTTTGATTCTCCTACTTTGAGCATACCAACTGCTGTTGTACATGGAACTTCAGCTCCTATTAACAATAACATCCCTTTAAATCATCTTTAATACAACGCATTGTTAAGATTTCACATCCATAATTATGACCATTCTGTTATGAAATCATTTAATTTGTGAATATACAATGTAAAATATGTATATCAATAATATTGTTCAGTGTCGTTTACTTTTGGCAATTCTTTGGACGCCATTGTAAAAGAAAAACCCCTGTCGGTTCTTGTAAGTGATTAGTTGGACGGTTTAAAATACATGTTTTCAACATTGCTAATGCATTATAATTGAAAGTGTAAAAAGAAATATATATGCCCAGTAATATGGAAATATTTTCCAATCAGTTGACGCATATTTAATATTTTGACAATATTTTTAAATTGAAGACAAAATGAACAAGCCATCAGTGACGCTGATGGCCCCGATCGCAATCCTAAAATAAATATATGATACATATTAATCAATTGCACATTTATCTCTTTGAAAATTATCGAGCAATCAAACAGATTATCTAAACTTATTGCAAATTATAAAACAAACAAATACGTTTTGGTTCAATGATCCGTATGTCAGACAACGTCATACTCAAATTCGGCCATATTCGAATAATGACGTCATTAACATAATTCAATATGGCGGTCTTCAACAAGTTTCGTAGAGCGTTATCTCGTGATCAGCGTGTTTTAGTGGTGGGAGAATAACTTTTTTTTCATATCTTGAAATTGAAAAGGTGATAGAAGCGAAGTGTGCTGAAAAACGAATTGGCTTAAAAAAAAACCCTCAACAATGTGTTTTTCACATGGTGCCGGCCAGCTATTTCTTTCAAAATGGTTGCCAAATTTTATAAAGGAATGGTATTTTCCCAATATAACCAGCGAGAACCTCTTAAGATATGTCTTTTAAATGATATTTTGATGTCTCTGAATATAAAGACACATTTTGAAAATCCAATACAGCAGCAATTCAAAATGGCATCCAAAATGGCGGATTTTAAGTTAATCGTCATTTTTTCCTGTTGGATATGACTTGTAACGTGTCATTTATTTGGTTTTCTGTGTCGATGGGTTCAATTCTGATTTCAAAAATAAAATTCGCGAATTCATGATGGCAGAAATGCAAAATGACCACCACACTGAAATCCCAAACGGCGGAATTTCAAATAAACGTCATTAAATCTTTTACTTCCGTTAGATATGGCTTGTAATATGTCTTATATCAGGGTTTTGAGGTTGCCGAGTTAAATTTCTATCCAAAAAACTGATTATGAATTATAGCCCAGATGGGGTAAATTTAAAACGTCAATGAAAATAGAATCCAATACGGCGATTTTTGTTCTTGTGGACATGACTTGAAAAATAAAACTTTCAGAGATACTGAATTCAATATGGGGTTCATAAATTAATTTCCGATAAGATTGGCAGACATAGAATTAGTGCCTAAACTGGAAATATCATGCCATACCAGAGAAAACATCATTTACAGTAAGTTTTAAAAACACAGGGTCATTCTGTCTTGTTATTCATTTCACAAGTTCTTGTGATTGCCAGAACAATACTGATTTTCATCAGCAATGGACACTAGACAAAAAAACAAAACAAAACAAAAAACAAAATAGGCAAAAATGAACCTGTAGTTACTGTCGATCCTAATGATACCCCAGGGGCGGAGTGATCATTCCTCCGCGAGGGGTTCCCACTCTATGAGGGCGGGCGTCAGGTGAGGTTCTCTCTGAACAGGCGTAAAATTTCTTTAGAAAAACAGACTGTAAATGGTGCTTTATAGAGTAAATCTTGGTGTTTCTAGCAGCAACCTTAGCAATTCATCAAAAAATTACGCTAATTCATGACTAAAAGGGGACTCCAGGCCAAACAAAAACATTAACTAGTTTCGGGACCCCTGAAACTACCTCCATACTCCTTTTCAGCCCATCCTTGAAAAGGGAGGGGGAGAGATAGTATGTTAAAACGTGTTGCAAATTTCTGCATTACAATGTAGACCTTAAATTATCAAATAAATTAACACATGGTATTTTGATCGAGTACTTGACAGCTACAAGAACGTTTCCATTAATCGAAAATTCCGATAAACAATTCATTGTTAGTTCGAGGGGAAAGTTCTACAGATGGTAGACAAAATATCATTTTGTGTGAAATAGGTGTCCTGAATACAAATGGGTTCATTGACATCAAATATCGGTTCTACAATTTTGGCAAGAGGGTTTCTTTTGTACCCATCACGAGCCACGAGAAAATGACTCCCTTCTCAGAAAAATCCTATGCGGAACAAACATTTCCGTTTCATCTAAAATTCCAATAAACAATTTATCTTTAGTTCGAAGGGAAAGTGCTACAGGAGGTAGACCATATTTAAATGAACCTATGGTTACTATAGAGCCACATGATACTGATACTAGGGGCGGGGTAGGGGCAGTGTCGGATTAAGGCTCTGCTGGCCCTAAGGCACATTTTGATAGGTAGCCTGAAAATACAGATATGTTGGGCTCACTGACAAAATGAAATAAGTTAAATTCTCAACATAATCACTGTTCATAATCATTAATCATAACAGAGTATTTAACACTGGAAATATTACTCACACTTCTACTTCTGACTAGAGATTTACGAACGGCTGACCAGGGTGAGGATTGTCTTTTCACAGAACCGCCATCGGAATTTTCACCTTGGCTTCCCTAGTCATATTAGCTAGTTTTCGACAATGTTTCACTCGTTATGTTGGTCTATGCATGTTTATAATTACGTGAAATACATCTAATGTCAATTGCGAAATCAATGAAAATTTTTAAAAAATATGAAATTACTTACGAGATTCTTTCCCACAACAAATGTAAACAAACCTCACGTGTGTAAAAGGACGAAACATCATGTCAACCCTTTGCCAGAGTATGGAAAGCTTTTAAGGACAAACGTGTAGATGAAGAAGAGTGCAATTTATTTACATAAAAATAAAGGCAAGCATTTTTGTCACCACTTGATAATTATCAAAAAAATTTTACTTTATTATTTTGTGGCCTGGATTTTTGGCTGGCCCTAAGGCACGTGCCTTATTTGCCTTATGGTTAATCCAGAACTGAGTAGGGGCCGTGGGGGGGGGGCGGTCCACTCTATTAGTAAGTGCAGGAGGACCGTACTACACGCAAGACAAAAATTTACAAGATAAACCTGCGGATAAGACAGAAAATAGACATTGCACCAAATAAACAAATATCAAATCAAGTGAATGGATCCGGGGGCCAACCGTAAGCGTCCACTGCGCTGTACAGTTCCGGACCTGTAGTGACACAAACTTCACTCAAATTTGAAAACAATCAGGAATACAAAAAAGACGTAACAGAAATAATGCGACCAATCTTGACAGTGGTCGTCTCCTCAATGGCGATAGTCTGCCAGTTGACGTCATGAGTAAGAACGTCATACAATTTTAACAATAAGGGTGATAATCGGGATAGAATCTCGGAAAACGCTAAAATAATAAGTTTAGTGAGCAAACAGGAGCAAAACCCAACAACGAGAACATTCTGCAGCACGAAGGGTTAAAATTCTACTCTAATAGTAAGTGCAGGAGGACCGCACTACACGCAAAACAAAAATCTACAAGATAAACCTGCGGACAAGACAGAAAATAGACATTGCACCAAATAAACAAATATCAAATCAGGTGAATGGATCCGGCGGCCAGCCGTAAACGTCCACTGCGCTGTACAGTCACGGACCTGTAGTGACACAGTGGTGGAGTCCGGAGGGGTTCTTCCAACCGGCGAACGTATGGAAGACCAAACAGCTTTTTATTCAGTGTTCTCAATTCTTCATTTGTTGCTGTATTTCGACAATGTACCCTATAATCAACATTTGTTTTACAAAGCAGACATTTGACCTATCTGATTTGTAAATTGTATTCTTTAAAATCTAATTGTACTTTAATTAAAAAAAGATAACATTTATGTTAGAAAATAAACAAAACAGCCTACATTTACATTTTATCAGGGACATATAACGAAAAAAAATCTTGAACAAAAGATTTTCAAATACAAATCTCCAAAGTCTTGCAAAACATTTCTCCAAAAACATTTCTCGAAATTCATCGAACCGGAAATGAATTGAAATTAACCTGACATACAATAAGTCACCATACAATAATGGGGAATCGAGCAAGCATATTCAACATAGTCCGATCGCCAAACCCAATATTTCAAGTGAACCTTGAAATTGTATACTGAGTTTTTTTTATGAGTAATTTTTGTAGCCTAGGATGTCCTCTTTCGTATGGAGCGGAATTTCCCCCATAATTCCAACTCCTAACCTAGTAATGCGTATGCTAATATTTTTACTTCTATACATTTAAGTTCTTACTAACACATGTTAAATTGGCTATTTACACATGTAAAAATGCTAATTTATATAACTTATTTTTTTTAAATATTGCTGTTAGAATTTATATTTTGGTCTATTTCCATTATTACATTTAATTTATTGTAGTCTGTATAGTTTCGTTAACATTTTGACATTTCACAAATGTTTCGCGGTAAAGCCGTCACAATTCTAAGCTCATTTTGGTAACAGATGGCGCTGTTTATTGTATGGAGGCTGATTAGGGACATGTAAAATCTCGCCTTTTTCATAACCCGACAGATAAAAATCATAAAATATTTTATGTACAAAAGCAAACTGTTCTAGATATTTTTAAAATATATAAATAGGCTTCCATGCCGTGCATTTTCCAATATACTGCTATATCGATTGATTTGGCATTTTTTGTTTCTAAAAGAACAATAAAATATACAGAAAGAACTCATTACGTCATGCAGTGAATAAATGAATATATAGGTAATGATAAGCTTAGCACGTATCTTTTCCCCTCAAATTTATGAAATATTTTTCGCACACAATTAAAGTATTTTTGATATTATTTTAGCTTTCTATCGGATCAAGCCTCCAAATCATCGTGAGCCGCGGTGGCTCGGTTAGTATGTCCCTGACTCGGTCTCGGGTTCGCTCTCGGTATTGG